GGTAGAAGTATCGGTTTTTGTACTCTGTATCGGCAAGTACTCAGATCCAAGTATCGGTATCGTATCGGTTTGAAAAAATTGGTATCGTTGCATCCCTAATCACACTTTCTCGACTTCAAATCAGGCAGAGAAGTGACCTTAACGTCACTTTGGAATAAATCTGTGATGCTTTTTTCGGAGCCTTGGAGTCAAGCTATGACATATCCGCTAAATAAAATGCATATGAATGGTAGCCATTTTTTGGAGTATCATACAATGCTTGAGCATGCAGTACATGCAAAATGCTCTCTAACATGTAAGTAAGTGTACATGTGATAAATGTGCTATGCAACTTAAAACAAAAGTTCTCATCCTGAATTCGAAGAATCTCTTCAGCAGTTCATTCAGGAAGGGACGTGTACGCCACTGAGGAAATCACGCTCTTTCTCCTTTTCATAGCCAATCAGCATCAGGTCAGAGTGGTGACCTCCGGCTGAGCATAGTTTCCCGTGGCAGCGAGGATGTCTTTACAGCTCTCTGTCAGGAAACACAAAGGACAGAATGAAATATAGTGACTTAGCATAAAAAACACTGAAACTGACCCAAGCGAGTGTGCTATAACCTAACAACAACGGGGTCACCACCCTTCCCTCCATTATTAATTAATCCTAGGAAAGAAGAAGCCCTAAATGTTGATACATATAATAGTAAAACTAAACGTATTTCTTGACTATTAAAATCTTTATTTTCAACAACCAACAAATCAGTTAATATTTTAACTCTATTTCACAGACAAAAACAATACTTTTGTTTGAACTTCACATGTGAGCCAGATGTTTCACTGTGACCATCCGTGTTGTTAATGGAAACCTATTAGTGGGAATCATATCTGAGGAATCACTTGGGAATATGGCGGCCCGCTTGAGCTTGGAAAACCTTCCTCTTCTCATCTGTATAGCTTCCTGCCACTTCCTCTTGCAGCACTTGAACTGTTTGCTACACTATTATGCACACAAACGGGTGGTTATCTCATCACAAATACACAAATACAATGTGCTTTTGAATCCCTGTGATGACCTTAGTCGCTGCAACAGCGCTGTCTTTTTGTCCCGTTCCTGATAACCATCCAGGCATCTTCAGGCCTGCATCCATCTATCTATTCCTCTAATTACAGCCACACTGCCCTAGTGAAATATTAGATGTACCTTTATATCCTGTAACCCTGTAATTCACCAAAACCATCTCCCTTTGCCACATAGCTCTAAAAAGCGACTTTCAAATGTTGGCTAACAACTGAGGTTTTTTATTTTTAATTCTGCACTGAGCACTAAACACTGAGCACTTCTTGCAGATAATGTGCACTAAAATGTGTTGTGTACGTGTGATATAATCCACTGTAACAGACTGGGATATCATTATGTACATACTCACCAGATACCAGGCTAAGAATTGAATTAACCCCCCCTCCCCTCCTCTCGCTTGCACACAGATTTGTATTAAGGTGTTCTGGCTTTTCTCAGTTCCTATTGTTTTTGTCACTGTGACCAGAATAGCGCTTACATGGTGATCTCATGAGCTGACCAGACGATTTTCCATTATTAGAAAGCTCAGTATGAAACCGAGGTCGGACAGTTTCACCCCATTTGTGTCATTTTCATTGTGTTTGTGAGGCTGTACATTTATATAGTGACAGATTACTTCGTCCCCTGAGTAAACCTGTCCACAAACATCACTTCTTCTCGTTTAGGACAGATTTAATTGTGCATGCCATTATAACTAGCACCAATTTACATCAACATCTTCAGGCACTGACAAGTTATTCAGGAACATCTCTGTATAATGAGCTGTTAAAAAAATACAAGGGTTTACTCTCCTAGGAGAAAAGCTACCATAAGTGCCACAGTTATGATAAACCCTGGTAGTGAAATAAACCTCAGCAAAGTGCAGGGTTTCAGCAAAACACCTTCAGCAATGTTGGACTGTTTGCACACAATTGTCAGGATGTTGACTGGATAGTGCTCAGGGTGTCAGGAATCAATCCACGGCTGCCAAATATAGAGCCTCTTCTCATAAGAGGCTTTTGGGTAGTTTGGAAAGCTCATGAGATGCAGCGGTCATTTAAGCAGACAGAGATGGCAGGGTCACAGCAGAATTACAGCAACTTTGTCTCACCCTCACCCCCCATCTTCTGTTTAAGAATAATAGCGCTGCATTCAAATGTGTAGCTTACACGGTTATGTGTGCTGATGTGATCTAGAGGTCAATAACTAAATAAATAAACAATTCAAGTCATGATTTTCATCTTGTGTCTTTAACTGTATCATTTTTTCCTCACATGCTAGGCTTGGTACCCTGCGAACACTTGTGCACTAATCCTAACCTGAGTACTAACCGTGCACACAGAGAGATTGATGATGCAATTAGAGCTCAATTGATTTTCTATTGATCTGAGTGGTAAATAATGGTTAAAACAGGATTTACTCCCTTAGAGGTGAAAGACAGGTGTTTGAAAGCTCCTGCGAAACATTCGTTGTGCTGTTCATCTCTCTGTTCTTTTTGTTAGATCAACTATAAGCACAATTTATGATGATTATTGAAACTTTGCTACAAGTAACTACTAATGTTTTACATTTCTTAAACATTTGTGTTTTTGTGTGTAATTTTTCACAGGTATTCATATCTTGCCACACGATGCACACTCCATGTACTGTAGGTATGAAGTTTAGAATAGCTTATAAGCACCACTGAAAGCATCTTAGCACTTAGAATCAGATAAAAGACAAAACACTGTGTTCCTTTTAGCCTTGCTAGCAGCAGGAAACTGTGGTGGCATTACCTGTCAATCACTCTGTCAATCAAACTCACACTTCAGGTGAGACAAAAACATTCATCCCACAACTATACAACATCTTTCCCCCAAAAAATGGTAAAGATATTCATGTTCCCCTCAGGGCTAAATATTTTATAAAAGAAAAAGGAAAACATTGCTCCTCTTCTCATTTTTTTTCTCTTCAATCTGTGAATTATTCTTGTAGTATAAAACAAAAACATTAAATTCCCTTTAACTTTGTATTCTTCATGTATGTCATGGATCCTGGGCTGTTGCCTGAGCTTTGAATTTCTGTTCAGTCTTTGTTTAGCACGTTTCCTACATGATTTCTTCAAGAGTAGTTGTTCAATCCAGTCTTTCACTTTCTTACTATTATTTTTGCTTTATTTTGCAATCTAGTTTCTGTTTGTCGGCATGGTTACAGTTTAACTTTAATTCCTGCCCCATGTTCCCTCATATCTTGTTGTTAAGCCTCTCTATGTCAGGCGTTTCCCATTTGTTACTTATTTTGGTAGCTGTTGTGTTCTTGCTGTTGTGTCTTGTTCCTGCTTGACTTCCATTGTCTCGTTATCTTTAAATAGCTTCAGCTGTGTTTAGTTCCCCACCTGTTTCCCCTTCCCTCGTTGCCTCTTGCATATTTAAACTCTTTGATCTTTAGTAATTATACTTACTATCATAGCTAATTTATAATATAAGGTTTAATTTTAACATATAAGGTCATAATTTTACATATTAGCATAAAACCAGGAGTTACGTATGGATGCAAAAAATTGGTATTGGTATTGTTAACATTTTAGCATGACGATATTGAAAATAGTCAATTGTCAAGCTCTCCATATTTTAGAATAAACTGTGTAGAAAAATATACATGCATGTACTCCATAAGTGAAGTTAAGGCTAAAGCCAGCAAGGGGTAATGCTAGTTATTGCAAAGGAAAGTGGAATTGTTTGTGAAAATGATCCTACTTTTCTTTTGATTTTTTTTTACCCCAGTTAACATTTTTCCAACAACTTTACTTTGTCAGTTGATGCTTTAACATATCTTGAATATGGCAACAGTGGTCCAATTTAGAGTAAAACAGATACTGACAGATAGAAGTTATTTCTGTGTGAGTATGCAGTAT